GAATGGAAGGAAGGAAGGAAGGAAGGAAGGAAGGAAGGAAGGAAGGAAGGAAGGAAAGAAGGAAGGAAGGAAGGAAAGAAGGAAGGAAGGAAAGAAGGAAGGAAGGAAAAGAAAGGGGGAAGGGAGGCAAGGGAGAGGGAGAGAAAGAACAAAGAAGTAGAGGCAGGGGAGGGGCGAGGAGAAAGAAGAGGGGAAAAGAGAGGAGGGAAAGGAGGGGAAGTAAAGGAGGGGAGGGAAAGGAGAGGAAGGGAGGGAAGGCACACTTAGAAAGATATCCCTAAAATTGAGGTACCATCTCCTTAGCTTGTAATGTTAACCTCACCTGGAGTTGATGGCCTCTCAAGCATGTTCAGATGATGGGAGATGAAGGCCTGACTATCATGAACAGTATCCATATCAATCTCTTCCTCATCTTGAGAACTTGAAAACTGAAACACACACACACACACACACACACACAAATGAAAGCATAAAAGAGCCATTACATCACTTTACACTTGAATCTTAGCTTTCAAGAAAAATAGCTGAGACACTATAAAATATACCCTCATATAATCTTAAAAGGAATCGTACTCTCTTCCTCAAAAAGTATTAAGAAAAAGAAAAGACTACTTGGTTTAGGCTCCAACAAAAGAAACTGGTTAGAATTTACTAGAAATACAATAGCAACTAAAAATCTACTCCTATATTGTGGGAATGGTAAGCTGTGGTGGAATGTGTACAAGGGTTCCTTGTCCGAACAGAGAATACGTGATAACAGAAGTTAAATAATTGGTTGGAATGCCTTAGAAGGACATGTGGGTTCTTTTATGATTCCAACTGCCCCATGTGTTCCTGCTAAGGAAAAACCATCACAAGTATTCAACAAGGTGTATAAGAAGGTGGGTATTCATCCTACACTGTTAATACAGGTTTAACCTGTATTTCTTACTCTGATTTTGAGTTTGACTTTACTGCTATCCTCATTCTTCTCCAGAATTTGACCAGGTTCTAGTGGGGACCCCAGTGGTGTGTCAGCCTTCCTCTTCACTCCCTGCTGATGAGCTGATATATTACATGATGCTTCCTTGGCAAGGTGATCATCTTCCTGTGGCAATATTTAAGATCAAAATTAGATTTTTGAAGACAGTAGCTCATATTATAGCTAAAATCTAATAGCTATAACAATCATGCAGATTCGAGCATGCCCAGTGGCTAAAAATAATTAGCAATGGGCTTAAATGGGCTTCCTGTCTGTTCTTTTTGGAGGGAAGAAAGGAAGTACTAACTAACCTCCTACGGTTTTTCCAAAAGAATTTATCTTTTTATTACTTTCTCCTCTTCAGAAGTGTAAATGTGGATAGATTAATATATGTGAGCCAGAATTATAGATACCTATTTCTACAGTTTATAAAAGACTTAGATCTGATAGAGCTCTTTAAGGAAACTCTCTGTGTAAGGATCTCTAGGACACTGGAGAAACTCTAGGACAAATTTTAAATTTGTGTGATTATATTTCAGAAATGTTAGTAAATGAACTTTAAAATGCCTATTACTATTATGAAAAAATCCGAGTATCAAAACACCAGTAGGAAATGACGAGGCAAGTCTTAAATATTGGTGAAAAACAAAGGCTGAAAATTATTTCCAGAAAACTTCTTCTGCAATAAAAGGACTAATATCTTAAGGTTTTTATTTTTAAAAGTCTAGAAATTTTATAGTGCAGAGTTAGAAAGAAAAGCTTTTCTAAAAGTAAATACCCACAAATATGTAACATTTCAAAATATAATCTAACTCCCTCTCTATCCAGCAGATTATTTACCTGGTTAATTATCGTTGTTTTATTTTCATTCAACAACCATTTGCCAAATACTTACCCTATGTTCAGAATTAAGCTATTATAGAGTAACAATTTGTGTTCAAACAACTGTCATTAACATTTATGGCTAAAACAAGTTAATAGGTAGTAAGTTAATTACTCATTTTTCTATTATACTATTCAGAGGAGAAAGTCTATGCTCATGTACCAAAGTATTACTGCAGCATCACAAAAGAAGGAAGCCAGCATCACACCACTTGTTACACTCAGTTATGTAACTGATAGCAGCATTTTATGAATTGTAAAATGCTAATAAATGTTAGCCAGGTTTTTAAATAGCACAATGAACTGTCTTAGTGGATTTAAATTCACCAGTTCTTGACAAGAAACTCTTTCTAGATAGCTCTACAAAATATACTACATGTTTTGTAAAGCATGTGATTCTTACTGGGTTCTGAAATCCAATTTGCTGTGCATGACTGCTTGGATTACTTGTAACTTCTTGGTTGCCTGTTACGGACTCTGGAATTATGGTAGGATTCAACACAGCTTTTTTTTCCTTTAGATTAAGAACCAACCCAAGCTCTGGCAAGGGTAAACAGGAAGGTCTACTGAGACCAAAAAGTGTGAAATACAAGTCCACAGCACCACACCGTAACCTCCAGTCGTGTGAAGTACCTAAGAAGAACAAAGGAAATTTCATTACTATATTTTCATTCATAGGAAATATTAGATATTAGGTAAAATTTAATGGTCTAAAAAGACATTTTCTGGCCTTAAGACTTCCTTTTCATTCTTCCTTCTGTAATTACCATTTATCCACCCACTCAACTCACTCATTCATTTATTCTTTATCTACCTTGTTTGCCTTTCTTCATTAGTAGTGTATTAGGAAAACAGCACTCCACAAGCCTTCTTGTATCCTACCACTGAAACACATTCTTCTAATGCTGGAATGAATTATTATTTGAGGGGGTACAGCTACTTGAAACAACATAATTCTCAACATAGACTTAGTATATACAAGGAAAATACTTGGTTAAACAATTTTATATACTGAGTATTTTTTAGTAACAGAAATAAGTAGATCAGTTTAAACTAGCTGAGAGACTACCAGTAGGTTTCTGGATTTCTTTGGTTTCAAAAAAAGAAATTTGGGTTTGAGATCATACTATACCCACCAAAATGACAGACCAGGACACAATAATAGCAGATTTCTTTCTCACCTCTCCCTCCTAGTAGATCACTCTAGGTAGACACTGCCATATAGTACAACTGACCAACAACCAACCCAGGGTTATATGATCTCTTTGAGTTACAGCTGGAATTTAAGATTATCTGGAGCCAGGTGCCCAAGCCCAGAGTTCAAGCCCCACAACCGAAGATTATCTAGAAATTTTAATTATGGAAACTCTTGATAAGGAAAATAAAACATAGAAAGACTTCATTCTGACTGAGAATTGTGGTTTCCAAAGAGTGGCATGACATTTAAAAAGAAAAAAGGAAGAAAGGGCTATATTACATTTTGGACATCATAAACATTAAACTCTGTAGTTGCCAAACACAAATATTAGCCTTAGTAAACACTAATAATAATTCAGTAATAATACTAATGAGATATATGTGTCCTAACAGGCAAATAACTATTTCACGATATATGAATGAAATCTGTAGTTGTAAACTTTTTCATAGATTTGGCCAAATACCCGACAAAACAATTTAAAAGAGGAATTGTTATTTTGGCTCAAGGTTTCAGTCCACAGGCCATGACTCTGGGCCTGAACTGAGGCAAAACATCATGACAGGAGCACATGACAGAGGTTGCTCACCTCATGGCAGATAGGAGGCAGAGAAGAGGCTGAGAACCAGGCATAACCATGCAGAAAACACGCTCAGTATCCACTCCCTTCAGACTGGCCCTCCCTCCTAAAGTATCTACCACTTCTCAAAATAATCCAAGCAGCATCAATATCCATGCCAGACTAAATGGTAAACTATGTTAAAAATTCCTGATAGTCTGTCTTCCTTAAACTCGATATTCAGTGAAGTCTCGTGACAAACTGTAGCTACGTTATTTGCCATATTGAAACAGGGATGGCCTCTATCAATTTTCAACAGAAATCTGCTCCCATCTGAAACCACACAAGCACAGCTATTACTATCCTTATTCCCACTGGCATTCTGGTCTTCCTAGCTACTGCCAGAATTGTCCATAAGCTCTGCTTACAGTATGCTAGGACTTCTTTAAAGTTCCCTCTCTTCAAAGTTCCAAATTCCTCCCACAACACAGTCCCAAAGGCTCTGCACCAAAGACTCAACTTCTCTGGTACAAATATTCTGGTTAGACTTTTTGTTTCTGACAAAATACTTGACAAACCAATATAAGAAAGAAAATTTTATTTTAGATAACAGCTTCAGATGTTTCAGTCTATAGTCCTTAGCTCTGAGGATGCTAGGCCCACAGTGAGGCAGAACAATATGGAGGCAAAAACATCTGACAACATCCTATCATCTCATGGCAAACCGGAAGTAGAGTGAAAGGAAGAGACTGGAAACAAAGCCATCCAGGGCCCACTTTTAGTGACTTCCCAGGCTTTGTAACTAAGCCCTACCACCTAAAGTTTTCATAACCTCCCAAAACAGCACCACCAGTTTGTACATGAGTCTATGGGGAACATTTCATATTCCTCCATAATGGGAGAAATAATTTTATTGAGTTCATAGTGAAAGGCACTTTGCATTCCATTTTGTATGAAACAACTCTTATTATTCCTATCTGAGATGGTTTCAACTCTGCTCCTATGATGAGGTAAGACATACAATGCTAGTAGAAGCAACAGAAAGAAGCAAAAGCTCCTTATGAGAATCAGGTTTTTACATAAGAATTGTAAAATACTGGGGCTGGGAAGGTGGCTCAGTGGTAGAGCGCTTGCTTTGCATGCCTGAGGCCCTGGATTCGATTCCTCAGCACCATATAAGCAAAAAGAAAAAAAGCTGGAAGTGGTGCTGTGGCTCAAGTGGTAGAGCACTAGCCTTGAGCTGAAGAGCTGAGGGACAGCGCCCAGGCCCAGAGTTCAGGCCCCATGAGTGGACCCCCCCCCCCAAAAAAAAAGAATTACAAAATACTAAATATGGAAAGAACAGGATAGAGTGAGTGAAAATAGTAATCGTACACTGGAAATAATTTTCCTTCTCTGGAGTATGAATATGTGGACAGTTAAGACAACTTGACATATTTATTGTTTTATAGGCATCCATTAATCTCTTGTTTAAAGCATTTTACGTATGTGAAGATTCCATAAATGGCATGTTAAATTCCTGAGACTTCTATAAGCAAAGGTTGGAGGGGCAGAACCCGTGAGGCAAGGAAAGGATGAGAACAGTGAGCAGTAAAGTCTTCAGCAGCCAACTACAGCTGATCCTCTATCCACTGTCTTCAGATGTAGCAAGAAAAAGAGTAATGTTAGGTATTTTATCAATAAAGAAAACTGGTATAGCTTCATTTCTAGTGTGCATTTGCAGAGTGGAAGATAGCTAAACTTTAAAGATAGTTTTGTCCTCTTATGCGTGCTGAAATAACTATTCTAAACCTTTGTATGATATAAATACCAAGAAAGCAAGCCACATAATTGTCAATTTCTAAATGCTTAAAGTATCAATAATAACAAGTGAAAATATACTCTGATGAACTAGGTTTTGGTTTGAAACATAAGCTTAAAGATACGTAGGCAACAAAAACTGCTAAATACACAAAAACCCTTAAATATGATTTCTGTCTTTTCATTTCTATTTGGGCTATTTGGTAGGTAGGCCTTGGGTGGGTTGAAAAATGAACATTTTTGTTCTTGAAATTCCCGTATGTTTTTTTTCCAGCTCTAAAAACAGAAAGTTCAAATCAAAAAATGCCTTAGGACAAGCTTTTAAAATAGCACTCTGTTCCTACCAAAAAAGTCCCTTCATTTCTGATAAAATTGCTATTAAAAAAGCTGCTAAGAAGCAAATTCAATTTGAAAATCACTTGTTTTCAACACATTTCTGAATAAACTTGGCCCTTCTTATTGACTATCAAAGCTTACCAATGTGTACTAAGTTGACCCAATTGCCACTGGGCATTAATATCCTAATTTTCTTGTCCATTTTATATTATGTAAAACTTTTATATTATGCAACTTTTATAGCTGTGTGTATACATGCAAAATTCCTAGAAAGATGAATTAGTGTGTTTAGATTTTCCTCTGTCATTTCTATCCCTAAGAAAGAAGGTACTGAGGAGAAAAAGAGATACAAGGGGAGAACTCTGAAACCTGCTAATGTTACTCTGTGTGTGTGTGTGTGTGTGTGTCTGTGTGTGTGTATAATTTTCTTACCTTGAGAACTCTGAAACCTGCTAATGTTTGTGTGTGTGTGTGTGTGTGTGTATAATTTTCTTACCCTGAAACCTGAAACACTTGCCTAGAATTATCTACCAGAAAACCAGCAGTAAAGCTTAAATGACATAGTGCTAGAGTTAAGCAAAGAAAGCTCAGGGACAGTGCACAGACCCTGAATTCAAGCCCCAGAATACACACACACACACTATATACATGAGCTAGGGGTATGGGTCTAATGGTTAAGTGCTTAATCATCTAGCAAACACAAAAGTCCAGAGTATGATTCCCAGCACATTAAAAACAACAAAAAAATCCTTCAGATAGGTCAAATATATGAAACATCATAAGAATATTTTTAATATTTGATAATTTGATGAGACAAAGAGTGTTTTACACCAAATGCTAACTCGCTTAATTATGAGTATGCAGAACTAGAAATAAGCATTTACATTTTGCAATTGAGAAATGTTTATGCAAGTTACAAAGTGAGTAAATAATTGAGCTACTAATATATACCCCTGAGCAAAATGGTTCCAGAACTATTGCCCATAAGGGTAATTATTCCACCACCTTACCTAAGTCAAATAATGTAAGTTGAAACTGGTGAGAACAACACATTCTCCATAGTATAGAATATGAACAGTATATATTTTTTTTTAATTCAGTATTTTGGTATGTACTAACTGCCCCTAGAAGGATACACAAGAAATTGGTTACCTTTGGGAAATGCTACCAATTAGAGAAAAAGCAATGGACAGACTTATTTTGCATGTAAATTTTTGAAATAAAAATAAATATTAATTCTTGGCAATCTTTTAACCATTTGGAACACTTCCTACTAAATTACCTTTTTTTACCCCAACTACCCTATGGAGCAAAATGAACATATCCTTAATAAATGTGAAGGTATGATAACTTACTTAAAAACAGAGAAAAAGACAAACATTTAACTTTGGTTTTCAAGTACTATTCAACTGAAAACCTGTTTTAAAATGGAAATTCTTTAATAATCTGTTTTTGAAAAATTACTGCTCTCTCACCAGAATTCATAAGTTTCCAAAGTTGATCTACCAGGGCTTCATTGCATAAGGGAGACTCCATGTTCTTCGTAAATGGTGGGTTCTTAGTCAACATATTTAGGATCTTATGCCTGAGAAGATTAAATAAAAAAAAGAAGAAATTTTTTTTTGCTGAATATGTTGCTATGAGTAGGAGACACCACAGAATATTCGAAAATTACACTTCTTCCTTTCTCTTTTTATCATTTCTCCAATAGGCCTCGCTTTATGCTTAATTTCAGAAGACTTTATATGTTACATTCTAATATTGTTTTCCACTTTAAAAAATTCTTGGGGCTGGGAAGGTGGCTGAGTGGTAGAGCGCTTGCCTTGCATGCATGAGGCCCTGGGTTCAATTCCTTAGCACCACATAAGCAAAAAGAAAAAAAAGCTGGAAGTGGCACTGTGGCTCAAGTTTTAGAGCGTTAGCCTTGAGCTGAAGAGCTAAGGGACAGTGCCTAGGTTCAGAGTTCAGGCCCCATGACCGGACCCAAAAAAAAAAAAAAAAAAGAAAAAAAAATTCTTGTGGATTTTTCTTCCTCAAATCAACTTACTATGCAATCAGGTAATTAGAAATCTGCCTATATAATCTTAACTACTTTTCCTGATCATGTTTCCTAAAAATAAACATCCCCATCTTTGAAACACAAAATCCTGGTCAGTCAAACTGTGTCTTTTAACAGACTCGATATTAATTGAAAATTTTTGTTTTTCTTTGAAGCTTAGGCATTAACTGTTTTTGGAAAACAACTAAAGATCCAAAACAAAAGGAGAGAAGACAATTAAAAAGCCTATTCTTAATTTTTCAGGTATTAAACATCGAAATTCACAGGTATCTAATTCATACATCCGAAACAGAAATGAAGCAAATTTCAAGTCATAGGCTTATGACATTTATGACAACAAAAACATCATTACTTGCCTAACCAATTGAGAATTTTTTGCCAAGTACATTTCCAGTAACTGTAAGAAACAGAGCTGAATCAAAAGACAAAAGGCACACAACAAAAACCAATGAAAAATATTCAAATCTCAGGAGGAAAAAGAACTGCATATTAATATGCCCCCTCCTCCCTCAAGGAAGGATTGTGAGCATATATAATTCTGAAGTATGAGGATAAGTCCGTGGCATCTTTAATCCTATATAATCTAAAGGAAACAAAAAGAATGGTTCTTCTTAGCAATGTAAAAAGAATAACATGCACAGAAAAAAACAGAAATGAATAAAACAAAACATGTAAGAAATCTTTCTGGATATAACTATGTTATTGCGCAGAACTTCTAGAGACTCTGTACTTTTCCAAAATCAGTATGACTATTTTAAAAAGTCATTCCTACTCAATTATCATTTACAAACTGGATTTTTTAGTGTAAAAACAACAGGCATAGATTTTAAAATTCTATCTATAGTGATCTATAGCTAGCTAGCTAGCTAGCTAGGTATACATACACATTTTTTTTTTAAATTCTAATAGACCTGAAAACTTTTTATTTTTTCCTGGTCTGGAGCTTGAACTCAAGGGTCTGGGTGCTGTCCCTGGGCTTCTTTTGCCCAAGGTTAGCACTCTACCACTTAAGCTACAGTGCCTCTTCTGTTTTTTTCTAAGTAATTTACTGGAGGTAAGAATCTCACAGACTTTCCTTCCTGGGCTGGGTTCAAACCGTGTTCCTCAAATCTCAGCCTCCTAAGGAGCTATGATTATAGTCATGAGCCATACCAATGCCTGGCTAACAGTAAACTTTATGTGGGGAAAAGCACTAGTAATTTGTCAAGTGACTCTACAGGTTAACCAAAATGAATTTGTTTAGTAGAAATTCATAAAAGACCTTAATAAAGGGCAGATTGAAACTCTAAAACAACTGGCCAGCACGGTTTGAGTTTTCCAGAACCCAGGCAACTAAGGAGGAGGATTGTTAGTCAGCTTAAGCGCTAGTGAAAACCTGTCTCAAAAAAGAAACAAAATATTTTCACAATAAAAAAATAAATAAAACAAAAACCTAAGACTATAGAAGAAAATATTCCTGTCTCACCATATTTAAGATATTAATCTAGCACAAAAGACTGAGAATTGCCAAAAATATTTTAAAACTATTATACATCTTAATTTTTTTTCTCTATATGCAATTGTCAGAATAAAAGAAGAATTTCTTTCACATGTGAATTACATTATATACATACATATATGATTAGAAGAAAAAAATACAGCATGTTATGTTATACAATGGTAAAAGAACACAAGTTCCTGTCTTTCTGAATGTCTATTTCAGTTGAGACAACATTGTTCTGAATTACTTTCAAAACTGGTTTAATCAGTCAATAAAAAGGTTGAAACATAGTACGGACAACCCAAGTTCACTCAAATGTTACATAAGCTTTTCTTGAAGTTTCAACAGAAATCACTCTTAAAATTACACAGAGTAAAACTTTATTAACAATATATTTGCACATTAATCAGATAAGGACATGAAAAAATGTACAACATAGTCCCATACTTTCAAAAATAATAAATAACTGTTCTATGAATAGTCTTCTGAGATTATTCAACTTACTTTAGAATTTACAAAATACTGTATAGTACATAAACTAACCTTACATAGGGTACAGGATCATTCTGAATCATATTAAGTAGCCACTGCAGTTCTTCATAACTCCTGTCCACTAAACATAAAGAAATGTATTTAGTGACAACTATAACAAATTAAATAATTAACAAATGGTAAGTAGGGAGTTCATATTTTAAGCAGGAAACTATCTAGCTGACTTTACATGCAGAATTCAAGGGTATAGGCAAGCACATTTTTTTACGATTTTTTAAAAAATGCATTCGGTAGCTGGGCACTAGTGGCTCACCACTGTGCCAAGGTTTTTATTGGCTGAAATACTGTTTTGCCCAGCTTTAACCATGATCTCAGTCTCCAGAGTAGCTATAACCATGGGCCACCATATCTGGCCATATACATACACCTATGTGTGTATGTACATATAGCTATTTTTTATGCTAAAGTTTAAATCAATGGCAAATGCAACATAAAGCAAACTGCAATTTATTAACAGCCCTAAATTAGAGATGATTAACTGGGACCAACACTGTCCCAATTATTTCTAGATATTTAAGTGATAAGTTTAATATCCACTCTATGACAGAACATGGTAGACTGTTTTATGCCCACATAGTTTACAAAAACTATTAAAAATGATTCATTAGCTAATTTCTATTCATTTGTTCAATATGCTTTACTTTTGTTACTGAAAAGGCTTTATTTTTAAAAATTTTATTCTTTATAGTTTTTATTCTTTTAGGTTCAAATTTGGAATGAATATTCAATATTTATTACAGCTTAACAATAAAGCCTTGTTCAGGGTTCACATTTAAATATAATGCCCTAAATAGATTAGCATTCTTTTTGAAACCATATAAATAGCATCTTATTTCATTTCAGGTGGTAGTACTAACTCCTATATTAATCCTCATGTTTATGAGACATTCAATATTATGTCTAAGTTTTAGAAAGAAGTTTGAGCTGGGCACTGGTGGCTCATGCCTGTATTCCTAGCCAATCAGGAACCTGACATCTGAGGATCATGGTTTTCAAAGCCAGTCCGGACACCAAAGCCCATGAAACTCATCTCCAATTAACCACCAGAAAACCGGAAGTGGCACTGTGGCTCAAGTGGAAGAGCACTCGCCTTGAGCTAAAGAGCTTGAGGACACCTCCCAGGCCTAGAGTTCAAGCCCCACGACCGGACAAAAAAAAAGAAAGAAGTTTGAGGCATCCTAGCACATTTAGTGGGTGATGTCAAAGCAGAAATGGAGCCTGATAAGAGGATTTTATATATATAGTTGTCTTCCCAAATGACCCATTTAATGACAACAGATCACTATATACCACCAATCAATTAAATGTAAGCATAGTTTAGAATAAGAAAAAAAACCCAGCTCTTTCTGTTATTTCACATGTGTAGTTCATACGTATTTCTCTTTATTCACTAACTATAAATTAGTATTTTTACTGACATTTATAAAGTGAAAAGGCCTGGGAGCTGGTGGATCACACTTTTAATCACTAGAAAACAGGAAGTGAAGCTGTGGCTGAAAGTGCTAGAGCCCTAGCCTTGAGTGAAAAAGCTCAGGGACAGTGCCCAGGCCCAAATTTCAAAGCCCTATAACCAACTCACAATGCACACACAAGTGTAATGATTTACATGTATGTTCTTTTCAACATTTAAAAATGAGACAATATGTATTGAACAACTTCCCTAACCTCTGGGCAGAAAGGGAGACTCTATCTTTAAAACAATGAACAAAAAACAAGGTGTAGTTCCATAGCAGCAGCTCATGTCTACCAAGGAAAACTCCAGTATGCCATTAAAAATAAGAGAAAATAGCTTTTAAAATATTTTTTCATAAAATGATATATGTTTATATCTCTAAAGCATTACCTTTAGTATAGTCAACTACTGCTTCCAAAGCTGCTATCCTGATGTCCACAAAATGGCCATATTCAGCATAAGATTTAAAAAGAGCTGGATCACTTGGCACATGTCCATTTTTCTGAAGCACCCTTATGGCTCTCAAGCAACTAGGGAAAAATGTTAAGTTAAAAGAGGGAATAGTTGATACTAAGCAGAAGGAAAGAAATGTACATATCACCTGATGCATAAGAAATAGTTTTACTGTTAAAGTTCAGAGAGTTCATTAACTTTGTAGATTAAGATAATGATGATGGTCATTGTGAAGGTTAAGAATGTGTTTGTGACTTTAGCAAAGTATAACTATGCCACAGTATTGTGAAACTTATGTAGTTACTTAATCTCAATTAAAAAAATATTTGGAGGAAAAAAAAAGAAATGTTAAGTTAAACATTTTCATTGAGGTATTATGAATCAAATGTGTTTCCTAAATATTAGTCTCATTTGTTCAGTAAATTTAAAAACTGATCTGAATTGAATCCACATTCAGTTACATAATGTTCAACTTTTAGATAATGATAAAAAATTTAAATTATCTAAATTCTAGAAAACAAAACAAAATCCGGGGCTAGGAAGGTGGCTCAGTGGTAGAGCACTTGCTTTGCATGCTCGAGGCCCTGGGTTCCATTCCTCAGCACCACATAAGAAAAACGCCGGAAGTGGCGCTGTGGCTCAAGTGGTAGAGCGCTAGCCTTGAGCTGAGGGACAGCGCCCAGGCCCAGAGTTCAGGCCCCACGACCGGACCCAAAAAAAAAAAAAAAAAAAAAGAAAACAAAATTCAAAACTTGTTTGGGCTCTCAAAGGTTCATAACATTCATTATTATACTTAGAACAGGAATACTCTTCAGAAAGAAGTATTAGCATAAATTTAGAACAGGAATACTCTTCAGAAAGAAGTATTAGCATAAATATAACTTAAATAAAGCATTTTCTCCAAAATTTTTAATAACATAGTCTGTTCATTATATAAATTGAAGGTTAAAATTGTTCCTGTTTGAAATAGTAATCAACTGTTAACAAACTCAAATAAATACTGACAAGCCATATACACAGACTTGAAACAAAAAAATCATGCAGACACCAAAAATAATGCTCATTGAGAATTTCTGATGAAATAAAAATATTTATGATACAACTGTTAAATCAATTGTATTACCTCAAATAAATAAAAACTTCTATAGATACAAAGGGAAAAAATTTAAAAGGGTATTCTCCAGATATGAATAAGTGGGTGACAGAATAGGAGAATTTTTATTTCCCTGTGTAGTACACTTTCCAATTTTATCTAGCAAGAATGTGCATATTAGGTATAAAAATAAATATTTTTAAAGGCAAAGAATTTAGTAGTACCTGACAGTAATGGTATGTCTGTAACTTGGAAGTAGTTTTTCCATATTCAAAAATCTGGTGATTTCCTCAAGAATTAGTCGCACATCAGGATTTAAGTTATCCAAAGTTCTAACTTCATTATTCACACTGACTGCCGGTGTAACAGAGTTGGCCAGAGCATCAATCATTTCTGCACGGTAATAGTTATCTGAAAACTAAGACAAAAAATAATGAAAGATAAAACTAACTCTAAAAAAATTAATACATGTAAACTGAAAATGTGACTTGCTCTGACAATGTATCTCAGAGGTAAAATGCTTGTCTAGCACTCACAAGACCTCTGGTTTGAACAGCACAAGAGAAAACAAAATAATAAAAACATATTCCAACTGGAAATATAAGTTCTCCAGTAAATATTCAACTCTGTCCTTTGTATAGTCACACTCTCAAAACAAAGTGAAAAGATTCATTAATCACTGACCTATCAGTATGCTAAATGTTTATTATGTGTATGATGTACAACACTCTTGTAGTAACCTAGCCAGATCCATTTCAGGAAGACTAACTACAGTCCACAAATCCTGCCTGAATACAAAACTTCAAGTCAGCTCTAGCTTAAAACGCAAACATACAGCATACAAGGACTGCCAGATAATAGAAAAAAATCAATACAAAGAGAAAATAATTTGGAATGTAAAGAAACAAAAGCAATGTGGAAGACATACAGAATGCATGGTACAAAAAATTCCACTAGGGGGCAAGAAATCTCTCAGAAACTATCATTAATTTGGTCTAGAAATAACTGATGATATTCATTCCAAAAGCACCTAATTATTTTTTAAAAAGAAATATGATGATGTTAAGTAAAATGAACCCCAAGATAGGGACACAACTTGTTTTTTCTTTCTTGCTATTGTTTTTAAAGTATCTAAAATGTACTATGTGATTTTTTTGTTTCTTTTGTATGTTCTTCCCCAACAGTATAACTCCTGTTTTCACTATATTTGATGTCAATGCCCTGCGTCTTATATATACATTTTTCTAATTTGGGGAGGGGAAGGGAAATAACAAAATGCTGAAACAAGGACAGAGGATGACCAATTGTAACAAAAGAGGTGACAGGACAGCTAAAAAAGCAGAGAAACTGTATGCTTATAGATCTAGAAAAGTACCATGGGATCAGCAGTGACTTTTACAAACATAAAGGATTTTTTTGCAGTGCTAGGCTTTGATGTATTTCTTTCAACAAAATGTCATTGAGTAGTTTTATAATATTCATTAAACAAAATACCTTACCTTATTTTTTCTGTTGTCATTGTATTTGATTAAGTCTAAAATAAATGTTAGGACCTCTTTAGGACAAAGATTATGAACATCTCTTAACAAAGCCATTGCAACTGGCATAGTCTACAAAAAAAAAGAATTTTTTAAAGCACGTAATTCAACTTATTCATTATTACAATTATTTGAACTATGCATTGAAAAAGTTCATCTTGAGTTGGCACAGGTATCTGAATGGACACTAATCCTCTCTCAAATGTGCTGAGATCACATTTCTAAAACTCGAAGAGTTAGAAAATCCAGGAAGGAGTTGCACGACTGGACATACTCTATAGGCCATGTGCCTTGGTACTCATTTGTTGGAAGAAAGTACTTACAATGTAAGTTATGCAGATTTAGTTCTAAGCAATACAGTGGAAAAGGTTATGAATTTTAGCATCAGACAAGTATTTGACAAGTTGCTAACTCAACTATCTTCTAGGCTAAGATGTCTTTAGCTAGTTGTTTACTGAGTAGGAGGCCTTCCTTTCTCCCAGCCAATTTTGGAGTTAAGTGATTAAGTTAGTGAATAAAGTTATGTAGCATATGGTAATGCTTAATCATCAGTCTGAAAACATTAATTTTCCAGTAAGACCCAACTTTCACACTAAGGAAAGGTGCTAAACTAAGCCTTCCTCTGCCACAAGTTTTCTGCAAGTTTTCGATAGTAGAAACATTGCCCCCACACAATGGCAAATTCTAGAATTAAAATGAAACCAATTAAATCCTAAGCAGAAGGGCAGATGGACAGACATCTTAGTCCTTAGAACACGGAAAGATCTGGACTATTTCTTTTAAAAGGGAGAGCTGGAATGGAAGTGGCTACTTTCTTGCCTACAAGACCATAAATAATAGAAGCAGCAACAGTCAGCAATAATTCTGTAACCTAATGAGGAAAAGCTCTTTTCCATATAAAGTATCTATCCTATGCCTATTCTGTCCTTCTGTAACTCAACTTTGAAGGATTATGAACCAGTAATCTCCTTCCTTCCCTTCACTCTCTACCTAGTACCAATATCATTAGCTGTTTTCTTTACCTTAATCCATAATAAGAAATAATTTCATAACACGTACCAGACACACACCACACCCACCCACATACACAATTTTATAAGCAATGTATACAAACTAAAAAATAAAAATTCATACACCATGCTTTATAATACTGTCTATTCTGTTTTCTTTCATTAAAAAAAAATAAAATAAAATAAAAACAGGGCTGGGTGCCTGGTGCTCTGGTAGTAAAGCACTTGCCTCCTAAACTCAAAGCCTTGAATCCACTCCCCAGCATGGGCAAAAAAAGGAAGAAGAAAAAAAAAAGTAACAAGTAAGTAAAAGTAAAGCAACACAAGTAAAATCCACAATAGCCTCTAAATTGATTTCATGGCTCTTCATTGTTCACAACTCCAATTTGAAACATTCACCTAAGGAATAGGGAAAGCACAATGTAACAATGAAGAGAATGTCTCAGGTACACACAAAGTTATCATTTCCCATATCACAAGAGGCAAGGGCAGACAATACATTTAAGTAATATCCAATGCTCAGTTCTTCAAAATACAATAAGGATACACCAAAGGTTTCTTTGGTCACACTTACATTATCGTTCCCAATCTAGATCATCCAAACTCTACTCTGCTGATTAAATCTTCTATAAATATATAAATATAAATATATCTTGACTTTCCCTCCCCAACTTTGCTGGGTAATCCTTTTACTTTTCCTTTTATCACATATAAATCTAAACTTGTTTAACATCCTCTTCAATATCTATCTTTTCATTTGTTTTTAGTGTTTTCCCCCTAATCCAGAAAAAGAAATGTTCCTATCATTGCTACAGTTTACTTCCTAACTGTGCTCTGTCCTCTCCTTTTCAAAATTTGATCCATCTTCTCTACTTACTTTCTCCCACTTAAATGTTTCATCTCTCCCTTTCCAATAGTTTTTACTCCTTTTCCTTTGTATGAAGCAAAATAAGCCTCAAATATCCCTTTTATCAAACTCTATTTTAACCTCAGGTCTTCTAATATTCTTCTACTAAAATCATAAAGGAATAGGCTCTTTGGTTTTCTTTTTTTTGGGGGGGGGTCCAGTTGTGGGGCCTGAACTCTGGGCCTGGGCGCTGTCCCTCAGCTCTTCAGCTCAAGGCTAGCACTCTACCACATGAGCCACAGCGCCACTTCCGACTTTTTTCTTTTTGCTTATATGGTGCTGAGGAATCGAACCCAGGGCCTGGAGCATGCAAGGCAAGCGCTCTACCACTGAGCCATCTTCCCAGCCCTGGCTCTTTGGTTTTCTAACTGCTGTAATCTAGTCAATCCACTGTCTTCATTTTTGTATGACTCAAAAAACTGTAGGAATTATTTCTAAACCACCTCAAAGCTGGACACCCTCCCATTCCAATTCCCTTTCCTCAATGTGACACTACTATACACATATTGTATCATCACTTCAAACTATCATTTATAGAAAATATACTTTTTTTGGTCAATCAGGGGGCTTGAACTCAGAGCTAGGGTGCTTTTTAGATTTAAGTTTAGTCCTCTACCACATTAGACCACAGCGCCACTTCTGATTTTTGAGTGGCTAATTGGAGGTAAGAGTCTCACAGACTTTCCTGCCCAGGCCAGCTACAAACTGCAATCCTCAGATCTCAGCCTCCTGAGTAACTAGGATTACAGGCATGAGCCACTGGCACCCAGCTTAGAAAATACACTCTTCAGGTACCACAAACCGCCTGCATACCTGAATTTGTTTAATTAAAAAAGACAAATTTTAGAAGTGGAACATGAATTAAATTAGGATAATTGTCAAAAGAGCCTAAAAATTTTGAAAAGCGAACTGTACCTTTTGTAGAAAATAACTTTGAAAGCTCATAAAGTTGTTTGTTTTCACAATGTTTGGACAAGTTTTACAACAAAACATCCTAGTAAAGAGTGATTTCATTGCTGGTGGTCCTGTCCATGTGCTCACCATTGAATTTGCAATCTGAAAATAATTGGAAAATATTTTCCATCACTACTGTAAACAGTTTTTAAATAAATAAGCTTTCTAAAAGCTACTACTACAGTTGTACATGGTTTTCACCATTCATTTCCAAGAAAACAAACTTGCTCTCCCAAAAAAATTCTTATATGTTTAAATTGCCGTATTTTCCCATGTTTTAGGAGGCTCCTGTTTCTAAAAGGCATATCCTCTGAACAGACTTTTTTCTATTCACTTAGGTTGATACTATTCTAATATTTTATATGCATCAGATAGAAACATCACCAATTTTAAACAAGGTTTTTCAATATACCAATTGAAAACTAAGTCAAATATAGTGTACTCAAAAGTTTTTTGTTGTTGTTGGTTGTGAGGCTTGAACTCTGGGCCTGAGCGCTGTGCCTGAGCTCTTCAGTTCAAGGCTAGTGCTCAACCACTTGAGCCACAGCACCACTTCCAGTTTTCTGGTGGTTTGTTGGAGGTAATAGTCTCACGGATTTTCATGCATGGGCTAGCTTTGAACCATGATCCTCAGATCTCAGCCTCCTTAGTAGCTAGGCTTACAAGCTTGAGTCACCAGCGCCTGGCATGTACTCAAGGTTTTTAAGAATTTTTTATATAGCCAGGCATTATGGTGCATGCCTGTAATCCCAGCATATGGGAGGCTGAGAGAGGGAGAACTGTAAATTGTAAAAAAACCTTTAAATTACAATGAACTTATTTTCAGAGACTTTGTGTAGAATAAACAACAATGTTGACCACACCTTTGCAAGACAGAAGCAAGCTGACATTCTCACTCGGTAGAAACACTGCTCTTGTTCTAAGATGTCAGTGAGTGCAAGGCGGGACGCGGGTGTAGGGAACTTCTCCAAGGCCAAGATGGATTCCTGTTGTGCCACAACATCCCTTTCATAGCGGAGTTGATATTGCCACATAAAATCAGATTGCTCGAACTCTACCTTCCTCAATACTGACATATCTGGGTCTATTCTTATCCACAGCAAAGGAGAATCTGCACTAAAAGAAAATACAATTTTCTCATTTTAATACTTAAATCTCATTTAGGAAGTATAAATAAAGTAGTGAATAATCACATTCACCTTCAGACACAGTATTCAAGATTGGAGTTCTTCTACTGGGGTTTGTGTGTGGGCCAATCCTGGAACTTTAACAATGTCCTAAGCTTCTTTTGCTCAAAGGTCTGCCAGATTTTTGGGTAGTGGATTGGAGATAAGTGTCTCATGGACTTTCCGGCCCAGGCTGGCTTTGAACCGTAATCCTCCGATCTCAGCCTCCCAAGTGGCTAGGACTACAGGCATGAGTCCCCAGTGCCCAGCTATATTTTTTTAAACTGTATTAACAAATTTTTCATTATTCTTATTACATTGTTAACTTTTTCAAAATGTTTAATCTGTATCAATCTTGCTAAAGAGATTTTTTCAAGGATAAGAAGAGTTGTCAGATAGCACGTTAAAGTCCTTATTTTCCATCTTAAAATATTAGTTTGAGATTATGTGAGAAAGAAAAAATGTTTCTTCATTTGACCTCCTATAGCCTAATTGTTAACTATGGTTAGGCATACTATCCACAAACAAAAATCAACTTGTGACTAATGAAATCATTTAATTAATTTGTTTAGCAGACTTAACACTTTTTAAAAGTGTTAACCTCATGATTACCTTTAGAAGGTATGACACATTTCAAAGGCCTACCCTGACTTTATCCTCATGACTTCTCAATAAGCACTTGAAAAAGTCTATGTCAATATTTTCATCAAAACACTACCATCTATAATATTAAATCAATTCAACAAACACCATTGTGTGTTTACTACTGACAAGGAACTTGCTATGGAAAAAGTTACAACAGTATCGATCTGGAAGGCCAAGTGGACATAACCTGTATGTAAACCAATAGTGAGTTTGTCATCCAACTTAGCAAATACATATATATTTCATAAAAAGCATGAAGATACAGGATGGACAAATTTGTTTGTACCATATGTTATTTAAAAATGAAGCACTGTCAATCAATAAATATTACCACATAAAATTTAGAAGAGTATTTTGTAAATTGGGCTTTGAAAACACAAAGAGTTCCCAGTTTCCCTGAAGCTGTGTTTCAAATACAGTGAATATTAACTGACTGCTATCACCTGGAGTCACTACAAATACAAATGATCAGGTCCCACAGTACTGAATTAGAAACTGCTTTTTAAGATGGCAAATGATTCACATGCACTTCATAGTTTGAGAAATCTGCTTAAGAGGTCGATCACAAAAGACCAGGAAGTAAAAATAAAGTAGTGAATAAGTAATGAATAATCAGATGCCCACTTCCACAATTAATACTGTAACATCCTCCTAATTTCACCTCATCCAATCTAGTTAAGACTTTTTAGATTTTGAAGGAATTAAGATTTTATTTAAAATTTACTTCTAACAAAGGTTCTACTGACTTTCAAAAGTTTTAGAGACAAGTATAGTATATACCTATACTACAAGAACTTGGGAGGCTAAGACAGGAGAATCATAAGTTCAAAGCTGAAACCCTGACTCAAAAACTAAAATGAAAAATCTTAAAAGCATTCATTTTGAGGATAATTACATACTTTTAATTAACTTACTCCATTGCAGAAAGATCCATGTCAACTTCTTCTCCATTCATCAGTGGGATTTTTTTCTTCTTATTCCTGTATTTAAGGGAAAGTTTGAAAACTGAGATTTCCAAATCTGAATGGGGATAAAGAAATGATTTTAAAGTTCAAAGAAATGATTTTAAACAACATATATCCTATGGAAGAATTATTATGAAATACAATGAAACAACAAAGTTTATTTTGAAGCTAGAGTAAATGAAGTAAATCTTGAAATCTTTACCTAACCAAAGTTTAGTGAAAATTAGAAATATATGATTAAATTATAATTTAAAATATGCATATTCCAGAGAACAAGCAGGCACAGTGTTACATACGGAAAAAAAGTTCTATCAATAAAGAAATCTTTTCTAACCAATAGAATTACAACCAGGACTAAAATGAGATACAAGTAATTGCAGATCAAACTGTGTTACATGTACAAGGCTCCTTCACAAGACTTTAGCAAAAACAAAAGGAACTGTTATCCTGTTAATTAACCTATTTAACGATCGATCATACACTGAAAACTGGGGGAAAACAAAAATAAGAAACGAGTCTTTCTGTGTTCCTTAATCTAAAAAATACTCAAATCACATAATATTATGGAAGAAAAAAATGAGGAAATGTTATGGAAATAGCAATTAGATGCTCCTAATTTCCAAGGTGCATAGAACAAAAACAAAAGGGATTTCACTCTGAATTTCCATAATTAGTAATGTAGACATTTTTCATATCTATTGGCCACTAGAATATTTCTTTTGAGAAATCTACTTAGGTCTATTGCCCATTTCTTCTTAGGTTAAAAAGGTGAAAGATAACAAGTGTTGGAGAAGACGTGAAAAAAAGGAGGCCTGCACTGTTGGTGAGAACATAAGTTAGTGGAGTCATTATAAAATAATATGGAGGTTCCTCAAAAAAAGAAAAGAGGTACCTTATGATCCAGTGATTCTACTGATGTTACATATCCAAAGAAACTATCAACAAGACATCTGTACTCCCGTTTTTATTGTATCATTATTCCCAATAGCCATGAAATAAAAATGCCTACTGTCTGATGGATGAGTACAGAAAACACAGTATACTCTGCAATTATAAAAAAGAATGAAATCCTATTATTTGCAACACTGTAGGATAAACTGAAGATCACTGTGTTAAATACACTAATCACACAAAGACAAGTATCTCATGCTCACTTTTATGTGTAACATAAAAATGTTGACCTCGGGCTGGGAAGATGCTTGCCTTGCATGCATAAGGCCCTGGGTTTGATTCCTCAGCACCACATAAGCAGAAGAAGCCGGAAGTGGCACTGTGGCTTCAGTGGTAGAGCACTAGCCTTGAGCTGAAGAGCTGAGGGACAGTGCCCAGGCCCAGAGTTCAGGCCCCATGACCGGCAAAAAAAAAAAAAAAATGTTGATCTCACAGATGTGAAAAATAGAATGGCATTACCAGAGGCTGGGAGAACAGGGGAAAAGAGAAGAGAAAAACTACTCAGTGGTCACTAAGTTGTAGACAGACAGGAGAAAGTAGTTCTGATTGGTAATGTACAACAGGGAGACTAACAATTCTGTGTTTATTTCAAAAAGCCAGAATAAAAATTATTCTGAATTTTTTTTTCTGGCCATAGAGCTGAAATCAGGGACTGTGGGCAGTCCCTGAGCTCTTTTGGTCAAGGCTAACATCCTACCACTTTGAGTCACAACGCCACTTCTGGTTTTCTGGTGGTTGACTGGAGATAAGAATCTTAGGGATTTTACTGCCTGGCTGGCTTTTTAAATCAAGTTCCTCAGATCTCAACCTCCTGAGTAGCTAGGATTACAGGCGTGGGCCACCAGTGCTCAGCTTTTGGAATATTTTTATAGGGAAATGACATGTTCAAAAAATAGGTATGCACAACACAATTTAAACATTATACAATGTAGTATTGAAAAAAATTATTTTTTTCAAATGAGAGACATGCTTTATGGGTTGGGGCAAAGAACACTCAAACAAGAGACACATATTTTATAGGCTGGAGTAAGGCATATTCTCAATTAATTCAAAAGTATTATATTCAGCTATAGTATAAAGTGAGCATTTTGTCAAGAATTACACAATGCATAAGTGGCTATTGACAATAAAATAAAACTTCTGAAAAAAAGTTCTGGAGGACAAGGTGATAGTTTTAATCAAGAGTTTAAGATGCAAGAGCCTATAATAGGATATTTAGCTATTTGCTTTAAATGATCATTTTTCCAGTATTTCTTGTAGATATTAATCTAACAAGACTAATCAAATAAGTGATTTGGCTTAAAGATTTCCTTAGCTCCAAAGACTGAAACTTCCATTCCCCTGTCCTCAAACCCAATTTTAAAAATTAGCTATTAAACATAAAGATGAAAATGTCAAGACAGAATGCAAACAAAGCATGTTTGGTAATGTTACCTTGAACTAATATAGTAAGAAAAAAGATACCAAATATTTAACCTAAAAAACCTGGTGTTCAGCAGGATTTTTATGCTAGTATTTGTATCCGTAGTTCAAGAACTTTTATAGTTACGACTCAATACCTACCTTCTGCTTTTGGAATGGCAGGGAATATCATGTTTAAGGCTGTTCTCTTCAATTTGCAGTGTATGATTGAAAGATCCATCTAATTCCTGTACTGTTACTTTAAGTGGTCCCTTTAAAAAAAACATGCTATTCAAAGACAGTACTGGATACATATCACTGTATACTTATATGCACAGACATATACGTATGTATTTATATATACATATTTAAAATAGATACAAACTAAGACTAAACAAAATGGGGTATCTTCTGATAGTTAATAAGGAATGATTAGTCTAAGTCCCTTGAAATTCTCATCTGTAGCCCTTCTTCTCTTTGTTTATATATGGTATTTTCTGAGTATTCTTTACAAAAAAAAAATCTCCTTATAAATCTTCTAATCGTCAATCCTATCTTAAATTCTTTCTACACTGAAGCTGGATAATAGTGCAAAAGAACCTCTTGTAAAAAAGTTAAAACTTACCACATATTTCTGAGTTCCAGGGGATGTATAATCTTGCTTTATTTCGAGTTCTAAGACATTTCGTTTTCTATTAAATGCAAAACTTCCATAAAATTTTACTACTCCACTCTGGTCTCTAAGGAATAGTAAAGGAAATCTGACACACTGAAATAAATATATACTATAAGATTATCCATCCTGGTATGAAAAGTTTTCAAATGTATTTCTACCAGATCAAAGCCTCAAAATATACTTTATGATATTCCAGGTGGCAAAGTATTCAAAATTCTTATGAAAATTTTGTTTACATCTGGGAAAACATTTCTGAAACATGGAGAAATTTGTGTTTTGAAAGCAAAACCATTCTACTGGATTACTAATATAACAGTGTTTTGAAATGAAAAAAGCAAAAATTGCAAAATTCCAAAGTACTACTTAAGTTGTGCCAACCTTTAACCACATCTGAAAGTCAGGAGTCCATTTCCTATTACAAGTTATACTACAGGCCTGTCTGTAGGATTGTTTACTTCATTTACCTTCAAACTTGCATCTTTAACTCACTTAAGAAAAAGTACTCCAAAACATATCCAAGTTTACAAACATAAACAAATGTATATGTATGCTATCTCAATGATCAGTAGGAGCTTGACACCAAATGATTCACAGCTCATTTATTTTCAGTATTTTTTAGTAATTTCAACAAATTATATTCCTTTCACCCCACACCTCATCCCTCTTCTCCCATCTTCCCCATTTCACTGGAAAGGATACACCCATTGCTTTATTAAGGGCTGGATGTCTTTGCCAGAGACATTTGAAATGGATTTCAAAAATCCAGATGTGGAAACCAACATCTGACTCCACATATGTGACTGGAACTTCTGAGATGAAGCAGTACTAGCCAGACTTAGCAGCTTATTGAAAACCTTTAAAAATAAAAGTATCATTAAGTTAATATCCATATTACCCTACAATTTTATCATATCAATTATAGAGGACAAAAATTTCACAACTTATTACATAGGTTGTTCAGGTTAAGACTACATGCAACAGAAACATGACACATTCCATCAGCCAAAACATGAGTGTTCTTCATATAAACATTATTCAATGTCAATGATATACTGATCAAAGAATACTATTAAGAAAAGAACAGTACACTTAATGTTTATAAATTGTTATGAGTTTTACATAGACACTAAAAATTAACAACTTAAGAATACTTTTTAGGAGCCCAATACTCTCTTATCTGAGACATGTAATGTTCTTGTATTCTTTTTCCTACTTGGGAAAGGGGGATAGACGGGCATCAACCCAGAACATCACAAGCCAGGATACAATAAAGACACATCCATGTTCACTGCTTCACTATTCACAATAACCACAGATACCCTATAACAGCTAAGTGGATCAAGAAAATGTGGTACATATGCACAAAGGAATTTTACTCATCCATCAAAATATTATATCATTTGCCAAGAAATAGCTGGCAGGCTCAGAGAGAGAAAGAGCACACAGGTTTTCTCTAGAAAAGGTAGATCTAGCCGGGCGCCGGTGGCTCACACCTGTAATCCTAGCTACTCAGGAGGCTGAGATCTGAGAATCGCGGTTCAAAGCCAGCCCGGGCAGGAAAGACTGTGAGACTCCTATCTCCAATAAACCACTAGAAAACCAGAAGTGGAGCTGTAGCTCAAGTGGTAGAGCGCTTGCCTTGAGCTGAAGAGCTGAGGGACAGCGCCCAGGCCCAGAGTTCAAGCCCCATGACCGACAAAAAAAAAAAAAAATTAGATCTAAAATAAAACTATGCCCAGCAATAGACTGACTAAAGAAAGGTATACTCAGGGGAGGAATCCAAAGACGTAACTCTTCTGATCAACTAATGTACTGCTTATTAAAATGAACACCAGGAAGTAGAAACATGGTTTAGGAGATAGAAAGGGGGGGGGGGGTGCCACAGGAATGAAGGGAGGGCAGGCAAATATAGTCATTATATTAAACATATATTATGTAAAAAATGAACTACATAATTTGAAGGTATACACAGGAGAGGCAAATGGGGGAAAATAAAGAAAAGGGTGACACAGACCAAGATGCATTGTACTCATAATCTGACTTATGGAACTGAAACCCCTTTGTACAACTACATAATAATAATGGTAATGTTTTGTTAAGGTGGAGAGAGGAAAATGCAAGGAGTTGTCGGGTGCCGGTGGCTTACACCGGTAATCCTAGCTACTGAGGAGGCTGAGATCTGAGGATCGTGGTTCAAAGCCAGCCCAGGCAGGAAAGACCATGAGACTCCTATATCCAATAAACCACTAGAAAACCGAAAGTGGTGCTGTGGCTCAAGTGGTAGAGCACTCGCCTTGAGCTGAAGAGCTGAGGGACAGCGCCCAGGCCCAAAAAAAAAAAAAAAAAAGAAAATGCAAGGAGTGAGTACACCGGTAATAGAGCGCTTGCCTAGGATGCATGAGCACCTTGGCTCAATCACCAACACTGGAAAAAATAACAAGTACATAAATGATAATCCTCATTAGGGTCAAGCACAAGTAGCCTATGCCTGTAATCCTAGCTACTCAGGAAACAGATTTGAGGATCAAAGTTCAAAGCCAGCTAGGCAAGAAAGTTCATGAGACTCTGATCTCCAATTAACCATCCAATAGCCAAAAATGAAGCTGTGGCTCAAGTGGCAGAACACTAACATTTACCTCGAGCAAAATACTCAGCGTCAGTGCCCAGGCCCTGAGTTCAAGCCCCAAGACTAGCACCAAAGAACAAAAACTTCATTAGCATTTATGCCATTATAAAAAGTAGAGTGAGTATTTTATGGACAATTTTTCTCATTTTAAAAAATACTTGTTTTTTTAAAAAAATACTTTAGGACAAACTTGAAATGCTGCTTATTTTTTAAAATTTTGGGAGCTATATTACGACTTAGAGGCTGACATTTCCTTGCTCAGCAAATACTTTACAACTTGAGACATGTTCCCAGCACTTGTGTTTATGATTTTGTTGTTTTTCTGATAGGGCCTTCAATCTTTGCCACTTTTACAATGTCTCCCTTTTGTCTGGGTTGCCCTCCAACTGTAATCTTCCCAATTTCTGCCTCCTGAGCAGCTGGGATTATAGTATAAACCACTGCACTCAGTCAAAAACTGCTTTTATGAAATTAGTCATACTTGCTTGGATCTAAGAAGGCTATCAATAGAAAAACTGGCTGAACATTTATAATGCACTTGTCTGGTTTCTACTAACTCATCTCCTGCACTGTAACTTCTTATATTAAAACTTGTTTAGAAATACAGAGAAAGTTAGCAATAACAAAAATAAACATCATTTTAAATTGGCTCTATCTTATTTCTGAAAACATTTCAAAATATAATTTCAGACCTAACCTGCATGGCAGAACATAAAATCATATAAATGAATGGGCCTTGTTTTCATTCTCACATTCTAATTTATCTTCCTAATAATCATTCTGCATTTGAGGAAAGACTACTCAATGGACAAGCAAAGCTAAAATCCAGACTCGATTCTGCAGCACAGTAATTAGATCACACACACACATGGACAAGCAAAACTAAAATCCAGACTCGATTCTTCAGCACAGTAATTAGAACACACACACACACACACACACACACACACACACACACACACACACACACACACACACACACAACCTTCCATTTTCTCTTATTACTTACCTGTAGCATAAATTCCATACTGATCCTATTTTCAATCAATCTCATCACAAGGTGAGCTTTACACTGAAACATAGTATAGTATTCCCAGGAGAGAGTATGCGGGTGCTTTATGGAAAAGTGTAGGTGGGATGCTGGACTTTAAAAGAAAAAAAATTTGTTTAATATATAAATTTGACCATTAACACATTTCAAGATAAAAAAAAAAAACACCTCATGAGAAAATATAACCAGTTTCTTTAGTAGTAATAAATCTCTAAAATGAATTTAATGTAAGTTATATGGCTGAAAAGAAAGACATGCAAAGGCTTGAACTTGCCTAGGCGCTGTACCTGAGAGTTTTTGCTCAAGGCTAGCACTCTACCACTTGAAACACAGCTTTACTTAGGTTTTTTGGAAATAAAGAGTCTCAGGACTTCCTTGCCTAGGCTGGCTTTAAATTGCAATCCTAAAAATCTCAGCCTCCTAATTAGCTAGAATAACAGGTGTGAGTCACCAGTGCCTATTACTCTTTCTCTGGCTTGTGTTAGCCTTAAGAAACATCACACATGTGCTTCTATAAAAACAAGGTTTCTAATATCATCTGAAAAACAAACGTACTTATCCTTCTCTTTTCCTCCACCAAATATAGGATGTAGTAAAACTCCCCCAGTTTTCAGCTCATATGCCACTATTTTATCTAGTTCCTAAAAGATACAAAAACAGAAGTCAGTAAAACCTTTGCCACACAACAAATTTCAGAAGTCAACTTTAAATTCTCATTCTTGGAATCAAAATTTAAATTAAGTGTAAAGGATTTAGAGAAGCAAACTACACAGTTGCCTGGCTGCTAAGTACCAGTCTTCTGTAATTCGTAACTTCAGAACAGGCTAGCAGCCTGGCAACTTTTTAATATTCATTCTCTCTGATCTGTCTTCCAACTGAATTTCTTCTTAGTAGTTTGGTTCTGGAGACTAAGGTAATGGGAATGAGATCAGAAACCCATCACTTTAATACTTCTCAAGTTTTCTATAATACAACATACTACTTAATGCTTAAATGAAAGTTTTAAGAAAAAAAAAAGACACTATGACTGTGTGCGAAACTCAAAACTAGACTCAGTAATATACAGCACAGAAAAGTTATAAACAGTATATGAAATTGTTAGATAATTTATTACAATGTCTGATACAGTGTATGTCCTTTTGAGTTTTTTCTTCAGAAATAAAGAATGAATGCTAACTACTCCAGATGTATAAATGCTTTCATCATCCTAGGTACTTGAGATCTTTAATAACTAACTTTTTACCTGGCTCTTGGTGGCTCATTTATGTAATTCTAACTACTCAGGAGGCTGAGATCTGAGGATCAAGGGTCAAAGCCAGACCAGGCAGGAAAATCCATTGGACTCTTATCTCTAATTAACCAACAGGAAAAAAAAAAAGGGAAATGGTACTGTGGCTCCAAGTGGTAGAATGCTAGCCTTAAGCAAAAAGAGAAACAACCCTAACTTTCTGACTTTTGTTAAAGATTGGATTTGATAAAAACATGGAAAATAAGAAAGGAGAAGAAGCCCTGCGCTGGTGGCTCTCGCCTGTAATCCTAGCTACTCAGGAGGCTGAGATCTGAGGATCACGGTTCAAAGCCAGCCGGGGCAGGAGAGTCCGGCAGGAGAGACCAGGAGAGACCGTGAGACTCCTATCTCCAATAAACCACCAGAAAACCAGAAGTGGCACTGTAGCTCAAGTGTTAGAGCACTCGACTTGAGCTGAAGAGCTGAGGGACAGTGCCCAGGCCCAGAGTTCAAGCCCCATGGCCGACCCAAAAAAAAAAAAAAAAAGAAAGAAAGAAGAAGCCAGCAACAATGGCCCAGCCTTTAATTCTAGACTGAGATCTAAGGATGATGATGGCTGCAAGCCTGCCTGGGCAGACTCTTATTTCCAATCAACTACTCAAAAACCGGAAGTGGAGCTGTGGCTTAAAAGTGGTAGAGTGCTATTGAGCAAAAGAGCTCAGAGACAGTGGGAGTTTAACCTCCCTGAGTGACAAAAAATAAAAATAAAAAAATAAAAAAAGGAAAGGCTGGGAAGGTGGCTCAGTGGTAGAGTGCTTACCTTGCATGCATGAGGCCCTGGGTTCGATTCCTCAGCACCACATGAGCAGAAAAAGCCAGAAGTGGCGCTGTGGCTCAAGTGGTAGAGAGCTAGCCTTAAGCTGAAGAGCTGAGGGACAGCGCCCAGGCCCAGAGTTCAGGCCCCACGACAGACCAAAAAAACAAAAAAACAAAGGCAAATTTGATAAGGGCAGTAAAACTAGGCTTATAAAGTATATATGCATATGACCAGAATGGTATATGCAAAGTAATTCAATTAATTTTTTTTTGATCCGGTTGTGGGGCCTGAACTCTGGGCCTGCATGCTGTCCCTCAGCTCTTCAGCTCAAGGCTAGCGCTCTACCACTTGAGCCACAGCGCCACTTCCAGCTTTTTTCTTTTTGCTTATGTGGTGCTGAGAAATCGAACCCAGGGCCTCATGCATGCAAGGCAAGCACTCTACCACTGAGCCACCTAATTTTTGATCAAATCTTTGAAAAATATGAAAAAGATGTGAGTGATAGAACATAAATTCATTAAAAGGTTACTTAACATCTAATAAACCGTTTACTAACTGTAAGAGGTACTTAAATTACTTTTTAACTGAGAAACTCCTTTCTTAGGCTCATGAAATGACTGAAACTGTATATCCAGCCCTCACTTTGCATTTGTGTCTTGATCTGAGTCATCCTCTCCTGCAGCAACTTTTGAAATCACCTTGGGCTCAAGAAAGGACAGGATTTAGGTACAGAAAAGCATGTTGTAACAAAAGGCAAACTGCCCCTCAGGCAATCAATGCCTTATCATCTCATGGCGAAGGCTAACTTGTACCAACAGAAGAGAACATCCAAAAGCTTAAGACAAACTGCCAGCCAGGCAAAGAATTTGTCCCTGTTCACACTGACCTCTCCAGACTGAGGTAATGGGCAACAAGGCCACAGCAGTGACTGGGACGGTTTAATCAAGCATACCTTTTCCCCCACCCCTCCCAGTTTCCCATCATTTTTAAGCTAAAGTTCATGTCAGTACTCTGAAGATGACTGAAGACGGCTGAAAGATTCTTCCCAGGGCAACCAACATCATGTAATAAATCTCTTTACTTTACCCTTCATTATGACATATGGAAGAAACACATGGAACTCCTGGAGTTTAGGCCTAGGTCCAAAATTCTGGTTTTATTATATACAAAGCATCATGTGGGTTGGGAAGGTGGCTCAGTGGTAGAGCGCTTGCCTTGCATGCATGAGGCCCTGAGTTTGATTCCTCAGCACCACATAAGCAAAAAGAAAAAAGCCAGAAGTGGTGCTGTGGCTCAAGTGGTAGAGCACTAGCCTTGAACTGAAGAGCTGAGGGACAGCGCCCAGGCCCAGAGTTCAGGCCCCACGACCAGACCCAAAAAAACAAAACCGAAAAAAAAAAAAAGCACCATGTATATTGTGTGTGTGTGTATAGAAATATATCTGTCACAATCTCTGCCTGTGAGGTAAACAACAAGACTTGGAGAGATTAACTGACCATGAAGCTAAACAAATTTAGGAAATGGTATAAATCATCCCAATGAGAAGCTGGGATGACCAACTTGTAATTTATAGTTTAAATGTTTGCTTCATGGAATAACATTGTCCAAAAAGAAGTGTACTCACTACCTGACTATGAAACAGTAACTCATCTTCTCATGTATCCATCACCTTTATAATAACAATAAAAATGTTTTTAAAAATGTTTTCTTCCTTCGGGAAAAGTAAAGTCTTCAAGACCTAATTGTGACAGATCATTAGTCCTTCTCAGTCAAGTGAGTCTCATTATGCGAGGAAAAAGAAATCAGCTTTTTTCAGTAACATTTTTAAATTGTTTTACATGGACAGGATAACTTGGAAATCATGGAAATACTGTAATATAGTTTTCTGATTTGTAAGTAAATGACCCAGTTCTTCTTACCTCCTTAATCCAATGACGGTACTCATTAACACCAAAAGTTTTTTTCATCCAAAGTCCATAAATATAGCCTGAAATTCCTTTCAGCACCCACTCATCAGACCTAAGCAAAAACATCAAAATAAACTTTTTTAATTATAAAAACTCTTTACATGAGGTCAGCAAAAATAGTTGTATTTCTCTGCTTTCTAAAAGAAAAAAATGTTATTAACAAATTATTAGGTTTCCTAAATTCCTCTGGCTGAGCTGCCATTCAGCTGTCTTTATATCTGGCTGTACCTTAATTATAAGACTATGTTATGGCTGGGACAATGTAATTCAGTGGTAGAGCATTTGCCTAGCATGAATTAAGCCAGTACAGAGGGAAAAACAAAAAAAGCTTATAAGTATTATACTAAGCCAGTACAGGGGGGGAAAAAAGCTTCATAAGTATTATTTCAAGTAAAATTTACCAATATATATGCTCTATCCTCCCAGTGAAACTTTCCTGCCCAATTCCGCTCATACTGTCTGCTTCTAGGGAAGGACTTGCCTACAACCAAGATGGCACTGCTCAACTAACAAGTTCATGTTCTAATATTGCCAATCCTACACATAATTTCCAACAATATTCTAAAACCTAATGGTAAATTATTTTTTTGGTTTCTCCAGAAGGTAATTAGCACCATTCACTCCTTTATTCATTTCTATGTTCCTCTATCTGAACATTTTGCCTACTATGTTCTGAGTATTATACCTTAATGAAACTAGATGTAATTTTAGGACAATCAAATCAAGAGGCCCTATCCTGTCCTCTCCCCTGCAGCAAGACAGAAAAAGAATCTAAGATTTATATAGTATATATGGTATAAGATGTTAACAATGAAAGATTATAATCTTAAGGGAGTCAAGGCCTGGCCCATGCTAGGCAAGTGATCTACAAATATGCTATACCTCCAGCCCACAAAATGTTATACTTGCATGTTTCAATTAAACTGATATAACACTAAACATTAGAAGAAAAAAAAACCTGCCTATCAATATCAGTACTGTACAGGAGAATTACCTTATCTTAAATGTTACCTGGAACATTCCCAACTACTCTGATATTAGAATTCTAATTATATTTTTCTGTATATTCACACATTCATGTAGCATTCAGATTTGTGTGTGTGTGCATGTATTATGTTGGTCTTGGGATTTTAATTCAGAATCTGAGCACTGTCCCTGAGCTTTTTAACTTAAGACTTGCACTCTAACACTTCAGCCACAACTCCTCCACTTCCAGCTTTTTTGGTGGTTAATTAGAGAATAAGAGTATACAGGATTTTCTTACCCAGGCTGGCTTTGAGCCGCAACCCTCTGACCAAAGCCCCTCCTGACCAGCAAGGATCACAGGCATGAACTAACAGTGCCCAGTTAGCATTCAGACTTCTTTGTTTGCATTTTGAATCTGGGGCTTGAACTCAGGGTTTGGATGCTATCCCCAAGCTTTTTTTTACTAAGGCTAGTGCTTTACCATTTGAGCCACAGTTCCACTTTTCAGTGGCTAATTGGAGAGAAAGACTCGTGCACTTTCCTTCCCTTTCCTTCCTGGCTTCAAACCACAATCCTCATCTCAGCCTCCTTAGTAGCTAGATTGTAAGCACAACTACGAATACCTGGCTAGTATTCAGACTTTTTTTAGGACACTATTAACAAAATTCATACTTCATTTTTAAAATTTTTAATACTTTCTATTGTAAAAATACTATACAGAGAGGTTACAATTACAAGAGCAAGGTAATGAGTACATTTCCTATCAAGCATTGTTGCCTCCTCCTTTATATTTCCCCTACCATCTCTTCCCTCCTACCTCCACAACTACACTCACCCCCCCCCTAAATTGTAAAGTTCATTTTTCAACATAGTATCTTGTACATCTCATTGTTATAATGGGTCAACTTGTATCCCTATTTAAACGTTTTGTTTTTGCTCTTCTCCTCCCTTCCTTTCCCTCCCCAAATTAGAGAAGTGTCATACTTCATTTTTTAAGATACATTGTTGAAGTAATTATACTGATTTTAAGGCCAAAAATTTAGATGAAACTTAAAACTATTTTTCATGAGCTATATAGAATATATTTTTTCTATGTTTTATTTCCTTGAAATGAGGTTTTACTATGGTAGTCTACGAAAACTTCAAAATTGTGTTCCTTAGCCGGGTGCCGGTGGCTCATACCTGTAATCCTAGCTACTCAGGAGGCTGAGATCTGAGGATCACAGTTCAAAGCTAGCCTGGGAAGGAAAGTCCATAATACTCTTATCTCCAATAAACCACTAGAAAATGGGAAGTAGTCCTGTGGCTCAAGTGATAGAGCACTTCAGCCTTGAGCTGAAGAATGCAGGGACAACACCCAAGCCCAGAGTTCAAGCCCCACAACTGACAAAAAAAAAAAAAAAAATGTGCTCCTCATACCATAATTAAAGGCATGCTGTCACCATAATCAGGCTCCAAATAACATTTTCTGTAACAGGTATCCACAAAATGGGCAAAACTCAACTTACTTTGCAGAAAAAGAAAACAAAACAAAGAAATCATTCCTTTTTTTTTTTTTTTGGTCCGGTGGTGGGGCCTGAACTCTGGGCCTGGGCACTGTCCCTCAGCTCTTCAGCTGAAGGCTAGCGCTCTACCACTTGAGCCACAGCGCCACTTCCAGCATTTTTCTTTTTGCTTATGTGGTGCTGAGGAAGCGCTCTACCAGTGAGCCGCCTTCCCAGCCCCAGAAATCATTCCTTTTTGTCAGTAATTTTAAACTCTAGAATTACTTACCAAGACATTCTGGATATAAAACAGCCAAAAAATTGTTGAGCCAAGGACTGGGCTAAACACCTCCTAGTCAGAGGTGTCTCATCTATTATCATAGCACTGTGTAGTAGATTTGTGCTGAAATGCAAAAGAAGAGGGAAAGTTAATTATAATCCAGAAACATTTAGTCAGAATAAAGAGTCATACTTTCAAACAGACAAAAGAACTTTAGTTTCAAAAAATAAAAACCAGAATATCCTTTCAAACAGCTTTATAAATCTTTTCAAAACTTAACTGAAATTCATCTTGGTAATTTTCATTTATAGGAAGGTTTCTCAATGTTTTCCATTAAAAACAAATGTAGTTAACTTTTCTAGAGGGTGGGAAGAAACTGCTGTTAATCAGAAAGAAACTGGTACTAATATGAAAGGGCCATCTAATGGAAAAGGTATACCCTGCCAGACATGGTGGCACATGCCTGTACACTGGAGGGTGAAGCCAGAGGATCCTCAACTATACAGAAAGTTGATGTCAAAAAAGAAAAAAAAAAATCTGGGTGCTGGTGGCTCACGCCTGTAATCCTAGCTACACAGAAGGCTGAGATCTAAGGATCACGGTTCAGAGCCAGTCCTGGCAGGAAAGGCAGTGAGACTCTTATCTCCAATAAACCACTAGAAAATGGGAAGTGGCCCTGTGGCTCAAGCAGTAGAGCACTCGCCTTGAGCTGACGAGCTCAGGATAGTGGCCAGGCCCTGAGTTCAAGCCCCAGGACTAGTTAAAAAAAGAAAATTCAGGAACAGAGGTAAAACTGTTCTTAAGACACAAATGAGTAAATTTGTAAGTCTCCAAAGAAAGGAAAGAACAGAAGCAGAAAAGGTAACAAGAAAATGGAAAGGAAAATGAAAAAGAAATATTTTCTAACTTTTCAGCAACAAATTTCTGCTATCAGCAAATTAATTTATGATTTTAAGCTTTTATAAACATATAGTAAAACAAACATGAAAAGTATTTGTATATAGCCGGGTGCCGGTTCAAAGCCAGCCCAGACAGGAAAGCCTGTGAGACTCTTATCTCCAATAAATCACCAGAAAATGGGAAGTGGCACTGTGGCTCAAGTGGTAGAGTGCTAGCCTTGAGCTGAAGAGCTTAGGGACAGCTCCCAGGCCCAGAGTTCAAGCCCCATGACCGACAAAAAAAAAAAAACACCAAAAACAAAAACATACACACACATATATAAATATACACGCATATATATATATACTAACACACAACACATACATATTAATATACATATTAGTATCTGTTAATTTTGCTGTTGTTGTTGGCAGTGTTCTCAGGGCTTGAACTCAGCATGGGCACCATCTGTGAGATTTTGTGATCCAAGCTAGTGCTCTACCACTTGAGCCACATCTGCACTTCCAGCTTTTGGAGGTTAACTGGAGATAACAGGTTCATGGCTTTCCTGCCAGGTTGGCTTTGAATGGTGACGCTCAGATCCCAGCCTCCTGAGTAGCCAGGATTATAGATGTGAACCACTGGTACATGGCAAGGATGAGTCTTCTTTAAGTTTTTCTTCATCTTTTTCTATATTTGAACATTTGCTCATATTTAAACATTTTTAGTCAACAACACCTATACTAGAGCAAAAAAAAAAATCAAAAATCCTTATATGATCATTACACCAATTTTACCTCCTCCTATTTTCTTAGGCATTTAAAATTTGAGGATACACTAACCTAAAAATGCTCATGGAAGCATAGGCTGCCACTTCAACATAAGCCTCATCAATGAACACAGTCTTAAAACAGGAATATGGGTAACGACACGTAAGAATTTCTTCATAAAATTCAAAAACTTCATGAAGGTAAGATGTTGTATGTTTAAGCAATGGAAGAAGTTGAGGTAAACAAAAGTGAGTTACCTGAAAATAAAAAGTAGGGAAGATTAAGTACAAGGTAATTTCAAAATGTTAAGCTTCCTAAACAATTAGATAAATCCATTTTGTTTTTAGCAATTTCATGATGTTGACAAAAAAAATGTGCTGAAACAAAAATTATTGATGTTTATGGATTATATTCACAAACTATCCACAGTTCTGAAATTTTAATCAAGATGTATTATGTATCAGAGAAATACTTAAACTTCCTGAAAATAAAACTTAGGTTCCAAATTAAATTAGAATTTCTTCTTTCATACATACAGAACAAGAAGGAATTAAAATTCTAGGGCTTATTGTAAACTTACCTCTCATTCAAAAGTAGCTACTTTAGTGAAAACAGTACATTTCATAGTAATTTGTTAGCAACTTGTAAGTTGCTAGAATTGCTAGCTAAGTCCATTACATTGAGAAATATCCTAAGTCCCTGTATTTTAGTAATCCAAAGAATTGTAATCACTGTAGTGCTCTAACATTTCAAGTATATTCTGAAAGCTCCAGGCAGCTTATATTAGTGAGAAAACTGAAAAAGTGATTGGTAAAGTGGCTTACACTTAGAAAGAGTGAAGTCTCTGAGTTCAAACCTGGTACTGCCAAAAGAAAAAAGACCCTGTTGGGCTGGGAAGGTGGCTCAGTGGTAGAGTGCTTGCTTTGCATGCATGAGGCCCTGGGTTCAATTCCTCAGCACCACATAAGCAGAAAAAGCAGGAAGTGGCACTGTGGTTCAAGTGGTAGAGTGCTAGACTTCAGCTGAAGAGCTGAGGGACAGTGCCCACGCCCAGAGTTCAGGCCCCACAACTGACAGAAAGAGAGAGAGACAGACAGACAGAGAGACAGAGAGAGAGAGAGGGAGGGAAGGAGGGAGAGAGGGACGGAGGGAGGGAGTGAGGGAGGGAGGGAGGGAGAGAAGGAGGGAGGAAAGAAAGGAAGAAAAGAAGGAAAGAAGGAAAGAAGACCCTGTTTTATTAATACTTTTCTTTTTAGAGTGGAAGGACAGATGTAAATGCGAGGAAGAATGGACTTACCTCATGCATGTATGGATCTACAAGTATTTCAAAAGGTCCAATGGCCAAAGAGATATTTGAGGCAGCTGTTGGAATGGTGAGCATATAATGGAAGGTCTTCTTCCTCATATCATGGGTATATACTGTCTCTACCAGATCTCCATTGGACACAGCTACCATTGCAGCATCTACTGTAAATTCCAATTTCCACGTACACAATTCAGAGTATGAATCAACACATGGGAACCAAAATCTAGAAAAAAAGATTGACAGTATGGAAAATATTGCTTTCCCATCTAAGTTATTTTGACATTTCTAGATAACACGTAGGAAACTTCATGTATTTGGCTAATAAAGCCTTTTAGTATATATCTCTATATACACTAGTGGCTCACACCTGTAATCCTAGCCACTCAGAAGGCTACGAGCTGAGGATTGCAGTTCAAAGACAGCTAAGGCAGGAAAGTCTGTGAGATTTTTTTTTTTAAGGCCTGAGGCTTGGACTCAGGGTCTGGGGCACTGACCCTGAGCTTCTTTTGCTCAAGATTAGCACTATCACTTGAGCCACAGTGCCACTTCCAGTTTTTTTCTGTTTATGTAGTACTGACTAATCAAAACCAAAACTTCTGGCATGCTAGGCAAGTATTCTACCACTAAGCTATATTCCCAGTACCTGTGACTCTTATTTTGAATTAACCACCAAAAATCCGGAAGTGGAGCTGTGGCTCAAAGTGGTACAGCACTAGTCTTGAGCAAAAATAGCGCAAGGAGTGCCCAGGCCCCATAACAGACCAAAAAAGAAAAAATCTAATAAAATCTGTTCACAACTGTTATTTGGAATTATTAAAAAAAACTATCACATGGCAACTCCAGTTCAAATCCTAAAATATAATTCTTAGTTCTAATTTTCATCTGAAAGGTAATTTAAACTCAAATATTTAGGTTAGCCAGCAGTTACAGAGCATTCACTTACTAAAATGAAGTTTGTGTGTGTGTGTATGTTGGACATGGGGCTTGAACTCAGGACCTGGGCACTGTCCCTGAGGTCTCTGGCTCAAGGCTAGTACTCTACCATTTTGAGTCACAGCACCACTTCTTGTTTCTGGTGGTTAAGTGGGGGTATGCATCTCACAGACTTTTCTGCCTGGGCTGCCTGCAAACTAGGATCCTCAGATCTCAGCCTCCTCAGGCTGAGCCACCAGCACCCAGCCTAACATGAAGTTTTTTGAAATAATGAATACTAGATGAATACTCAGAATCTAGTTTCTAAATTAAGAGACTACTTTTCCTGAGTATATAATACATTGTATAAACACAAACTAAAGGGAAGAAAAGCACAGAACACTGAGTGCCAGGAGCCGGAGCTCCATAAAAAGCTCTATCTCCCTAGGAATTAACCAAAGAAGTGAAGGACCTCTATGATGAAAACTTTAAAAACCTGAAAAAGGAACTCAAAACAGAACTTAGAAAGTGGCAAAAACTCCCATGCTCCTGGATTGGAAAGATCAACATCGTGAAAATGGCAATAATTCCCAAAGCTATCTACAAATTCAATACAATACCCATCAATATTCCAACCTCATTCTTCAAAGAAATAGAAGAGGCAATCCAGAAATTCATATGGAACAATAAAAGACCCCGAATAGCAAAAACGATCAACAGAAAGAACAGTGCTGGAGGAATATCAATACCAAATTTCAAACTCTACTACAAAGCCATAGTAATCAAAACAACTTGGTACTGACACAAGAACAGACCTCAGGACCAATGGAATAGAATTGAAAACCCAGAAATGAACTTACAGACATATAGTCATCTAATCTTCGATAAGGGAGCTAAAAAAATAGAATGGAAGAAAAGACAGCCTCTTCAGTAAATGGTGCTGGCAAAATTGGTTAACTACTTCTAGAAAACTAAAGCTAGACCCTTATATATCACCCTGTACAAGAATCAACTCCAAATGGATCAAAGACCTCGGAGTCAAAGCAGACACTCTGAAAACATTACAGGATGGATTAGGAGAAACCCTAGGTCTCCTTGGCACAGGCTGAAATTTTCTTCATAAAGACCCAGAAACACAACAAATCAAAGAAACGTTGGACAAATGGGATTGCATGAAATTACAGAGCTTCTGCAGGGCAAATGACATAGCTAGCAAGATCAATAGAAAGCCCACGGATTGGGCGAAGATCTTCACTAGCCATACAATGGACAAGGATCTCATATCTAAAATATACCTGGAAGTCAAAAAATTAAATACCCCAACAACAAATCTTCAAAGAAACAACTGCCCAATAAATAAGTGGGCTAAAGACTTAAAGAGAAACTTCTCTGAAGAGGAAAGAAGGATGGCCAATAGACACATGAAAGCCATAAAAGAAATGCAAATCAAAACAACATTGAGATACCACCTCTCCCCAGTTAGAATGGCTATAATCAAGAACTCTAATAACAACAGATGCTGGAGGGGATGTGGACAGAAGGGAACCTTACTGCAATGTTGGTGGGAATGTAAACTTGTTCAACCACTTTGGAAAGCAGTATGGAGGTTCCTGAAAAGACTTCACATAGAACTCCCCTATGACCCAGCAATCCCACTTTTGGGCATTTACCCAAATGCTTACAAACAAGACCACACTAAAGCTACCAAAACGACTATGTTTATTGCAGCATTATTTACCATAGCTAAGATATGGAACCAACCCAGATGCCCCTCAGTAGATGAATGGATCAAGAAAATGTGGTATATATACACAATGGAATTCTATGCCTCCATCAGAAAGAATGACATTGCCCCATTTGTTAGGAAATGGAAAGACTTGGAAAAAATTATATTAAGTGAAGTAAGCCGGGCCCAAAGAAACATAGGTCCCATGGTTTCCCTTATTTGCAATAACTAGTCTATGTCTGAGTCAAGCAGAAAAGGTCAGATAAGTTGATGTTAGAGAAATGAACCCTAAGATATATATTCAAATGTTTTTTTCTTTCATGCGATTGTTTCTAACACATTTATAAGATTGTTTAACTAGGGATACAGGTGGACCCATTACAACACTGAGATGTACAAGTCATTATGTCAAAAATGAACTTTACAACTTTGGTGGGGGGACAGGGGGGAGGATGGGAAGGGATGGGAAGAGGAAACAAAGGAGGCTACAATGCTTGATAAGAAATGTACTCATTATCTTGCCCATGTAATTGTAACCCCTCTGTACAGTATTTTCACAATTTTAAAAAAAAAAAAAAGCTCTATCTCCAGACAAACCATGAGTTTGAGTTTGTGAGGCATTAATGGCTCATAACGGTTCATGCCTATAATATTAGCTACTCAGGCTGAGATCCAGAGGACTTGCAATTGTCACCAAAATAGCCAGCAAGAAGCAAGGTTGGAGGTATGGCTCAAGTGTAACAGTATGAGCCACTGAATTTAAGCCTCAGTACTACAGTAAAAAAGGAAAAGAAAGAGACAAATAGAGAGAGAGAGAACAAAAGAATAAAAAGAAAAAAGAAAAGAAGGGCTGTGGATACAGTTCAGTGGAGGACTGTCTGCCAGGAATGCAGTCCTTGGGATTTGATCTCAAGAATTGCAGTAACCTAAATGAGTGCTGATAAAGCCAGATTGGAAATTTACTTTTGCTTTTCTATCAGTCCAGGTTGGGTCTTAATATCTGTCAGGGCTAGGACTTGATACTGAAACAAAAATAAGCCTAAGACATTATCTCTGGCTTATAGAAATAATGTGAGAAAAGTATTCCTTATAAATAATTTAATAACATAAAGCTAACTACAGAGCTACAATGAACTACAATTCCACACCAAAGATGTAAGTAAATGTCACTATCAATTGATCCAAAGAAATTAAATATAAAGAATACTAGACAGGGGGCTGGGAAGATGGCTCAGTGGTAGAGCGCTTGCCTTGCATGCATGAGGCCCTGGGTTCGATTCCCCAGCACCACATAAGCAAAAAGAAAAA